TGTGGCAGCAATGGCAGCAGGTGGAGCTGGCAACTTGCCTGGGGCCTTTGGCCAGCATGTGGCACAGCCCACCCAGGTGGGTTTTCTCCTGAGAGGAAAGATATCCTGACAGATGGGAGGTTAAGCTGAGCCCTGGGTGTAACACCCCCGTTTATGAAACAGGATCTAGGAGTGCACCGATTACATGATGATGTCTGTGAAGCCATGGTAGCTATGGTTATTAATAACCCGAGGGGTGCAGATCATCTTTTGGAGTTTGGGTTTGAAAAGACCCCCAAAGTGAATGAGCCCTTCCCAGCTGGGGCCATCACACTAACGCTCCAGTCCTCAGCCCTTTGCATTTCACAAAAGTTCTTCCAGAAACCCTCTTTTGCCGCCTCTCAGCAGCCCTGTGAGGCCGAATGAGTGTCATTAACCTTCTTTATACACAAAAAACGGAGCTCAGTGGGATCTATTTCGGGTTGTCTGAGAGGGAGTGGATTTCCTCTGCGAGGCCGAGAGCCAAGCAGGCCGGCGAGCGGGAAACGCCTGGAAGTGGCCTGAGTAGGCAGCCTAGCCCGACGCCCCGCCCCCGGCGCGAGCCCCGGATGAGGAAGTGGCGCGGCCACAGAGACGGCGGAGGCCCAGCGAGAGAGGCCCGAGGCGCGGGGGCGGGAAGGGGGCGGGGCCCCGGGGCGGAGCCACCGGAGCAACGCGGGTTCTCAGGTGAGTGCTCCGTGGCCCGGGCGGGCCTTGCGGGCGCCGCAAGCTCGGGGGCGGAAGCTGCGCGGGCGGTGGAGGCTCAGGCGGGGTGTCCAGAGGAGGCGTGAGGGACCTGGAGAGGGTCCGGTCCTGGGGCCCCCCGGCCTGAGGCGGGAAGGGGCTCCGGAGCAGCGGGTGAGTGGAGCTTGTCCGCCCCGGACTGGCGCTTTGGGGGGCTTGAGCTAAGGGGACTGTGGCCGTGCCTCGAACTCGCTGTGTGACCTTGGACAAGTCTCTCTCCCTCTCTGAGACTCAGCGGCTTCCGCTGTGAAATGGAGGCGGGAAGACCCGCTGAGAGTTGGTACAGATGGAGGTTCGGGGAAGGACCAGTATCTTCCTCCTCTTTGTAGTCGCATTGCCCAGGACGTTGGTGGGGAAACGCGAACGGTAGGAGTGTCTCTGAGTGACCTTGTGCAAGTCCCTTGCTCTGGCCCTCACTTTCCTCATCTACAAAATGAGTGGGCTAACCTCTTTTAAGATCTCTTTAATATTTGAGTGTGATTGATGTAGGTGGAGACAAGGTAATGAGTGCCCATTCCCTGCAAGTGAATTGCAGAGATAGAAAATCTGTTCTGAGGTTTGACTAGACCCTGGCCCGGATACCCTTAGTTCCCTGATTCCGTGGTTCTATTTGTTCTCCGTCCTTCCTTGTAATTGGAGGAGTGACTTCATCCAAGAGTCACTTGACACCACATGTCAGCTGTGCAACACCAGTATCTTCACCGGCCTAAAATCAAAGAACAATTGCAAGGAAAAGTCTGACATTCAGCGTTGTCGTTTGTTTCAATGGTAGGCAGGCAAGATGACTTCTCTTCCCCAAGCTTGGAACAGCTGAAGTGAAACAACGGTGCAAGATGAGAACAACAAAGGTCTACAAACTCGTCATCCACAAGAAGGGCTTTGGGGGCAGTGGTCAGTATTGATTGATCTTTGGGAGTTGTGTAAGTTGGCTGAGGTTCTGGTGTATCTGGTGTATCCAGTGCCTTGAAAATTACACCCCAACTCGTGACAATGGAGGCTAGACAGGCAACTTAACAGAGTTAAGCAGCAACTATAATACAGCAACAGGGAGGGTGGTCAGACCCTTCTAAAACATTTGCATTCAGACTTTTAAGGAACATTGTGAATGTTGCAGGTTTACTACCCTTTATTTGTTTAATTGTGTTGTTTATTATAAGTTTACTATGTATGTTTCATAAAATTCCAGCCTGCACTGATTTGGCAGATTAGAGAAACTAAAATGGTATTTGTTTTGCATTCAGTGAGAGAGAAGTAGCGTAGATGTGCATAGAATGGGTATGATCAAAGCATGAACCTTTGCCTGGCTCCTAGACATGGGAAGAAGGGACAGGATGTAGCATGTTATGCTGCACTAAACCAGAATCAGAATCTTGGTACCAGCTCTGCCTCTAACTTCCCCTGTGACCTTGGGCAAGTCCCTAGTTTACCTTATCTGCAAGTTTGAGGGCTTTAGAATAGTTTCTCTTTTTTTCTTTTTTTTTTTTTTGAGACAGAGTCTCACTGTGTTGCCTGGGCTAGAGTGCCGAGACGTCAGCCTAGCTCACAGCAATCTCAAACTCCTGGGCTCAAGCAATCCTCCTGCCTCAGCCTCCCGGGTAGCTGGGACTACAGGCACGCACCACTGTGCCCAGCTAATTTTTTCTATTTTTAGTTGTTTGGCCAATTTCTTTCTATTTATAGTAGAGACGGATCTCGCTCTTGCTCAGGCTGGTCTTGAACCGCTGAGCTCAAGCAATCCTCCCGCCTCCGCCTCCCAGAGTGCTAGGATTACAGGCGTGAGCCACCGCGCCTGGCCTAGAATAGTTTCTCTTTGCCTCTTGAGTCCATAAATCTGCAGAATAAGAGAGCACTTAGCAGTATGATTTTTTTTCTTTTGTAAAGGAATACTTTTACCTTCTGTGTTAACAACTTCATTTACTTTAGAAATTGTGATTAATACAATTAGTCTTTTTTTTTTTAAATTTGTACTTTAGGATGCATTTGCATCTATGCTATGTATGAATAAGCCTCCAGAGGACAAGGACTGCCAAAAAGGGAAAACAATATTTTCTATATCATAGGGTGTTGTGAGGTTTAAGTACGATGATCTTTGCAAAGCGTTTAGCATAGTAACAGGCTCTGCTCAATAAATGTAGCCAGTATAATTACTAGGACAGGAATATGCCAGATATTGCTATACTTAAAATACAATTTCTGCTAAAACGGTCTGTTGTTAACAGTATACTTTGTGTGCTATTGATGTTGCCTAAATATTAATATTTGTGGAGTAGAGCTGAATAGGCAACAGAAGTAACTTTTGGCAGAAGGAAGAATCCAAGGATACATTATATACAGTGTATACAATGTATACAAGTGTATGTTTTCTGCTATAAGACAAAGGTAGCTAGGTGCTGTTTCCAGTTTTCTGCAGGACCATAAATTAAAATGCAATCAACAAATATTTATTAGATGTATACCTGTGCTAAACATAAAGTTTATGAATGTGACAAGGTCCCTCGTCCCTAAGGAGCTTTCAGCTTGATGAGACAGACATGTAAAAAGGAAATGATAAAACCAAACAGAAGGAAATATGTGCTCAGGGGGCTTAATTCAGACTATGGACGTTAGGGGGAGGCTTCACAGAGGATGTAGCACAAAACTGTCAATGGAAACATACCAAATAAAATTGAGATTAACCCAATGCTTCATTTTACTAGGCTGAATTTTTCTTGGGTCTGATTATATATGAAATCTGGACATATTTTTCATGGTGTTAGCATAATTAAAGGCAATATCCTTCCCCTCAAATTAAAACAGCAAAACAATAATTCTTTCTTTATAATTCTGCATTTGTAATATTTGAAAGAGTTCTCTCCCCCCACCCCGTAGGAGAGTCGGGGTAGATAAGCATGTCCCCCTTATGTGTTAAGGGTCTCTTTGGACTCTAATGTGAACTGATACCTGAAGTTTTTCCCTGATCAGGTGCTGCCCTCCAAAGTCCAGGCGATTTTATTTGGTTTGATTTTTATGACATGTGAGAAGGTAGTAAGCTTTATGTAGAAGGAACCTGGGGCCAGTAATCAGTCCTGGCAGTCCTGTTACTAGCTGTCTAACCTTAGGTGAGTCACTTTATATCCCACGTTATTTCCTCACTCCTGTGAGATCCAAAGATTTATTGTGAGGGTCACATTATGACAGTGTTTGTGAAATTCTTTGAACATGGTATAATATAAGGGATTGTGCTATATCTGTGGGAGCCAGCCTATTTTGTTCTGTTGTATGCCAGATACATGATATTCGAGGGAATAAAGGGATGTCCCAGAGGCCTAATATCCGGGGACCAAGGGCTCCTTTTTCCCTGGGATTAGTGGGATAGTAGAAAGAGCATGGGCTGTGGAGACAAAGATACCTGAGCACTGTCCCTCTCAGCTACTCACTAGCTTCCTGTGCAAAAGATTTACTTGTTCTTTTTTTTTTTTTTTTTT